CTAGAGAAGTGCTCTGGGGGTGGAGTCCATTCATTCATCCATTCATTACTCACTCAATGAACATTTTTTTTTAACTTACCATGTTCTGATATTGTGCAGCCTCAGGGGACACAAATGTGAAAGTGGCTCCAGGAAGCAGTGAGGGAAGAGGCTGGTCAGCAGACAGAGGGCGACAGCAGGATCCCACGAGGGCCAGAGTGGAGGTCTGGAGAGGAGTTGGAATTTCTCAGGGTGCAGATCTACCAAGTCCTCCTTTGAGGGGCTGCCAGGAAGACAGCTGTGCCGGGGTCTGCGTGCTAGGGGAATCCAGCTGAGTGTGGGGTGGAGGCAGAAGAAGGGACCCTAGCAGGGACTGACAGTAAAGGGCTGCCTTAGCGCAGGCCCCTCCCAGCAGACCTGCTTTCCGCCCCCTGCAGGCTCTGGGGCTGGGAGCAGATTCAGAGGGCTGATCCCCTAGAGATCTTCACTGACCCCTGCTTTCTTCTCTCTTTTCTGCCCCTCCCTGAAGGGGTCTGCTGAGAATCTCTAGGGGGAAATTCTGGTAGAGGTGGCAGAGAATGGTGGGGATGGGGTGGGAGAATGGGGAGAGATCCCAGAATGCAGGTACTTCCGTGGGTCACACACAGTGACCCTGATGGGTGTTTGTATCTTGTCCCCTGTGCTGTGTCCCTTACTCCAGCTCTAAGAGGCATAACCCCATCGCTCCAGGCCCCTTGCCCAGCACATGATCAAAACTTCCTCTGGGGTAGTGTCACCCCTCTGTTCCTCAGTCCCTGGGGAGGCCCCTCCCTGCCCACTGGCTTGAATCTGGGCAGGTCCTAGTGACACTCAAGGCCCCAGCACCCTCCCTATCCCTAGGGTCACCATATCTACCAACAACGCAGCCCCTGGGACCCTTCCTTGTCTGAGTTTCGCTCCACCCTGAGATCCAGCCCTTGTTCCCTTGGGCTCCATGTGCGAGATCTGTCCTGTGCCATTGAAGTGCAGGGACTCGAACCCCTCCCCTACAACCTCCAACACAATCAGATCCTACAAGACTCTCTGCATTATAGCCAACGTGGATGAAGGCATTTCAAATAAATTTCATTGAGGTGTAATTTGGATACATATGACAGCATGTGTCCATTTTAGTTGTATATTTCATTGATTTTATTCCTACAAGTTTGCACACCTGCGGCCACCATGAAAATGTAAATATAGAACATTCCATTATCCACAAAGTTCCCATGCACATCCATCCCCCAAGTCTTAGCAACTGTTGTTCTGTCCCCATGGATAACATTTTTCCTTTCTGCACCACAAATGTATGGATTCACACAGTTTGCCCCCTTTGGAGTCTAAGCTTCTTTTGCTTGGTAATTTTTAAAGATTCAGAATAGAGGTTTCTTAGAATTTTTTCTTAGAAAAAAGGAGAATCAGAGCGCTGGAGGAGATAGGGGTGCTGGAGTCCACGAGGTGTAGTGGTCCAGAGTGGAGCCTCGGAGTAGGGCAGCTCTGGGACCAAGCGCCAGCTCCAGGACGGATCAGCTGTGAGACCACAGTAAGCCATGTAAGGTCTCTGCACCTCAGTCTCCTCATCTGTAAAGTGGGTTGAACGTCATCACGCCATTATTATTACCAGGGACAGCAAATTGTGGTGACTAGGGGCCAGACTAAGGGAGGCATTAAACTGATGTGGGCCTCCCAGGGGCCTGGCCAATGCCTTTATCTTCAAACAGATGCTTCTGGTACCTTCACTGTCCCATGTGTCATACTCCACTATTTCCCCCCAGTCTCCAGTTCACTCTTGTCCTTCCCACCCCCGCATCCCATTAACTTCACACTGACACCCCGTTAAATGGCCTCCTCCTCTTCTCCACATCCACTCACCCCATAGCCCCACATCGACTTCCTCCATACCCACCCCACACTTTGCAAATGCACATCTCAGTGATCCCTGGTGCTATGGCCCTGAGAGGGAACCAGGACCTCACAATGACCAGGTGGGTCTTCAGAGGCCAGGAGGTAGCAAAATTGGGGCCTAGGGGCTGACCCTCCCCCATCTCCTGACTGTGACCTTGGCCCTCAGGGTAAGAAGGCAGAAGAGTGCTTGAGGCCAACTGAGCTCAAGATGGGGGCCCTGGCTGGTCCTGGGAGCTTATGGCTATTCTGGCCTGTGTGGGTCTTGCTCTGCCAGGGGCCTGATAAGTAGTTGACTGACAGACAGGCAAGATGTAGGGGGTGTGGCCACAGCAAGGAAGTTTACTCTGTTCTCTCAATTCAGATATCCTCATCAGAGATGATCATTGCTAATTTTTCTGGATATCTTCCTAATTTCCACTGCCTGCCTGCCTATCTATCTATCCATCCATCCGTCCCTCCACTAAACTGAGGCACTAGGATTGAACCCAGGACCTCGTGCATGCCAAGCACGCACTCTGCCATTGAGCTATACCCTCTATGCATCCACTGCCTTTTAAAATAATGCCTTTACAAGACGTGTGTGTGTGTGTGTGTGTGTATATATTGAGTTCATCTTGATCTGATAAACTTGCTAGATCTTGTACACTCTTCTGTATCAGTAAATACAGAGCACACACATTCCTTCTAGATGATATTTGGTATGCCATTGTTTAAACAAATTGAAACCCATTTAATGAATACCAGCCAGGCTTTAATGAGTATCACTATACATTTCGGTGTGAATGGGTCAGTATTTGGGGATATTTTTTGTAGCCGGAACTCTAGCCACTTAGGTAGGGAAGAAAGGATCTTCTGGGTTTTCCTTAGAAGGGGCTCAACTGTTGGGAGCCATGCTGGTGCCTGAGTCATAGGTGCCCTTATGACATCATATA